CCGTCACCCAGTACCTGTTTGCCTTGGGAGACCCTACCAGGGGCATATAGCCCCCGACAACATAGCTCCTAGGATCACTTGGGTACTCAAACCCCTCCACCACAATAAAGTGGTGGTTCAAGGAGGGGAAAATGTAGAATTAAATCAGTTTATATCAAATTAGCAAATAAAAACACCAGATCTGACAAAACCTTTGAACTTTTACTAATTGGTAATATTTTTAAAGATATTGTCCAGTTATGTTAGAGACAAATATGTGTTGTTGGTAAAAATGTTCAGGTTGATTAGCTCCTGCTGTGTGGTAAATCTGTTCCTCTGTCTCCCAGGTCATTTATCCACATCATTCCAAACTGTCAGAGAAAGAGGTGAGTTAAACCGACTGAGGGGGGGGTTCCAATAAAAGACGTTTTAAGGTATCAAATATTCTTTTGGACATAATGTTACCACATGATGATGAACAATTTACAGTAAACTAATTGTATGGTAAAACTGTAAGCAATGAGCTAATCATTTGTACATTATTTGTAATATTTGTCATTTCATTGCAGTAACAGTCAATCTCTGATATTTGTTGTGCATTGCTCCCTGAATCCGCCTGAGATCACATTCTAAAAGAAGACAAAATCAAAGTAAACTTTGTTGTTTTCTTTCAGAAAACAAGCATCTGCTACCTTTCCTTTCCTGACTCCAACTCAGGTAAATTTCTTTTTTAAGCTCTTAAGCCTCAGACTGTCCACAAAGGAAAGTCAGACCTCTGTGGAGTCTTTGGATTAATTTTATGGTGATGTGTCAAGGGCCAGGTTATGTGAGAAAACAACTAGTAGGTAAGATATGTTGTCCAACCACACTGTGAGGCAGAAGTGTTTATATTTGTTTGGAATGGCTGCACTTAAATATAAGGATAATGGCCTGGGAGACATTTATAGTGGGGCACTCAGCTGTTCACATACAAAGTGAGGGAAATAGTTACATGAAAAACAAAAAACAGAGGTAGAGAGCAAAGTTACCAGATATTAAAATGTGCTGTGGGCCCCACTGCCCCCCTTTTAATACAGTATGTACCCTGCCACCTCCAGGTTTCCATTCAGTCCTGCGCAACCCAACTGTACTGAAACAATACTTTGTGTAATATGTTTCAGTTTGCGTTTCATTAGGCACAGCTTTATTTAGGTGAGAACAAAATTTGAAGCTAACCAAACTGCCACACCAGTGGAAATGGATGAACCACTTGGTTGTACATACAAGAAGTGGCAAAAGTAATTATGTGACTAATAAAAGATGTTGGGAGGGTTCAAACCTGGCCTGCAGTTCATCAAAAGGCTACCAAACAGTAAATTTAAAGCTTACATAAACCTTTTACAGTATACCTGTGAACCACCTGACATGCTTCTCAGCAGGGTTATGTTACTGGGCTGAGTTTTTAATAATATGTAATATTACATGTGATTATGATTGAGATTTGTTTTGTGTCTGGAACAAAACCTGGAAGCTTTAATTTCACTTTGACTCTAATTAATTTGAGTCTATTATAAATGTTTGGCCTTGCAGTTAGTCAGGAACAGTTTTCAAAATCGTTATGTTGTCAAAAAAAAAAACCAAAGAAAAGGCTGACATTAACATTTTAGACATTTAAATTAGCTTAACACAAGAGTGCAGACAAATTGAGTTATGGAATCTATAAATGCACAATTTATAATAAATTTATGAACACACACAGAGCTCTGTGCAGTCGAGTGTGTTTGTCTGTAGGTGTGTGTTTTTGTTGACTGAGTCAGCAGGCAGTGAAGCTGACTAACCTGTTGCCCTTGGGATGAAGACAGGATTCGGACAAAATACTCATAGGGTTGCTATGTATACTGTAGGTGTGTGTCAGAGAGAGGATATTACAGTCTACACCCACCTGCCACCTTATTAGGTACACCTGTACAATTGTATCCACTTCAATGCAACACTTCCGCCTTAACATCTGTGTTTATGAAGCTCAAAATGTTTCAGTTTTTGGTGAAATTGTCATAAATGTTTTAATTCAAGTATATGTTTATTATTGAGGTCATAGTTGAAGGTGGTGGTGTACTGGACTACATTATTTTGAAAGGCATTCCTAATATTCTGACCCTCTCAGTTATGTAGTTGGGGAGGACAAAAATATAGAGACGCATCTAAATATAATGTAGTCCAGTACATAAGGTGGAGAACGGAGGTACTGTACCACCAGTGTTAGAGGCACAAATAAGACAGAATCTGAGAACCCAAAGATAAACTGGGCTCAAATCAGAAGGTATAAAACATCTTTGACCTGACTCTAACATAACAGCATTTAATGATCAGATTAAGATCTGAATTTTAATGTGATGTACAGATGGGTGACAAATGAAAGGAAACACCAGCATGGAGTGTGTCACTGCTCCTCTGTTGGAGGGAGGAAACATTCTTCCAAAACAGATTCCCTGGTTGTGTCCAACATACTCATTAAGCCATTCATTTACCCAGAGTTGCAACCATTAGTCAGTTTATTGACAGAGTAGAATAAACTGACTATCTTTGGATTTGTTGGTTGGACATTATGAAACATTTGAAGACGAAACCTTTAACTCTGCAAAGTCAAAACAAGGTGTTTTCCCCAATGTTGACATTCTGTGAATAAAAAGATCTGCAGATTATTCAATGAACAGTTTCGAACATAAGCCAGTTTGCTAAACCCCCCTGAACATAACCTGCTCAGCACCAAATAGCAGACTAAGGAGCTGGTGGAGACCTCAAACAGCTGAATGAGTCCATGTTGGATTTGCATTCATCATGTGGACACAAAACACCAACAGGATGATCATGTTAGCCTGTGTGTGCTGGGTGTGTAAACAGGGCCTATTAGCCACAGTAGTTTTATGAAGTGATGACATGTCAGATGTTGTGCTGACAGCTTGTTGCACTGCTCACAACTGCCCGAAGAAATAGATGGATGTAACTTGGAATGAGACCAGACACTGGTATTTGGCAGGCACTGAAAGCAAAATGTCACCACTGTGTAAGCTCACTCATCATTTAATATTTTTTCCACACAAAAATTCTCTAGTTCCAGCTTCTCAAATGTGAATATCTACTGCTATCTGTCCTCTGTGACCTGTGAATCTTGGAGTGTATGACAGCTTGTCACTGGTATTTTTATTTTTGGATGTTTTTTGGATAGGTATTTTAATTAAATAATCTGCAGAATAGTTGAAAATCAAAATAATAGTACAAAAATGCTTCTGCTTGTGGGGTTTCTTCTTCACTGCATCCATTTTGTTAGTGAGGTCCTTAGTGATAACAGACGGTGCTAACAGCATCACAGGTTCAGATCCAGTGTCTCGCACACGCTGATTAAGAGAAAACACACAATTAAAAAGAAGAATTAGACAGTTTGGAGCCTGATTAGTCAGTTTGGTCTCAGAATGAGTGCTGAGACTCAGCTGCTAAGGGCCTGTTTGAAATTGGGTGGTCTTGAGCGCAACCTCACTGCATGATGTCATGGAGTCTTGGCTGAGCTTTGGGAAGCGTGTGTGTGTGTGTGTGTGTGTGTGTGTGTGTCTCTTGAAGTGGAATTCCTGTAAGTCTGACAAGTGTTTGTGTTATGGAATTCGGTTGCCATTATCTCATTTTCTCTTCTCACACACTCTTGTGTCTGCTGCAGAGCATACGTATGAGCGGACTGGAGCGGTGAGAATTTCCGCTCCTCGCTCATGGAGCTGCACCAGGCTGCTACATTCACTATCACTCAGCACTCAACTACGATTGCATCCCACTCCACTCAAATCCCACCCACTCATTCCAAAAAAGGGGAAATAATCTGCATGTATTTCACTTTTAGCTTAAATCCTAGCCTTACATCCCTAAAGAACTAAAGATTGGCTGCTTTTTTTCCTCAAATAGAAATGATTTATTTCAATTTACAGTTAGGCCTATGTAACAGGAAGTATAAAACAAATGGTCATATGTAAAATTAAATCAATAGGTCTAATTAATAAGAATATACAGGACATCTGTATGACCTTTAGGTTTCCTTTTTAAAGTACTTTAGGAACTCCATTATTGAGCTCGCAGTGGCCACTTTTCAACTGGAAAGTGTTAGATGACTGTGCAAGATGCATTCTGGGTTGGGTTTGAGCAGGCTCATGGTGTGAGCAGTACTAGAACAAAATTAAAGCAGGACATAAGGCAACGCTCTCTCCTTTTTAAAAAAGCCAGTCTGCGCCCTGTCCAAAATCTTCCTGTTCTCGCTCCCATGCTCTGGTCTGCTTTAGGATGTGCTGATGCCATGTGGAGATTAAAGGCCTAACACCTAACTGAGACACTTTATGATGGATTTTCCTCTCATTTGTCTGTATCTGCAGGCACAAATTAATAACAAGATCAAAAGATATGAGAATATATTTAAAGTATAAAAATAACATAGCAGATAGTTAAATGTTTATAATCCTACCTTCAACCACTTAGGTTTCCATGATAACAACATCCTCTCTTTGCCGGTTTCCCAGGTTGCCTCGGTGACACCCAGTTCTGTTTCCGCTTCCGTCAAGGTTCTAACAGGAAATCGTCGCTCAGCTGCTTCCTGGAAACCTCTGACCGAGATGCACCCCCCTGTCTGAAGGTTGGGACACACACAGCAGTGTATACATCTGGACCTTCTGTTCTAGCGATGTAAAACTCGATTTTTGTTCCCTGTGTGCTTATGTGTTGCAGAGAGAACAGGGCCATTACTATGGCTATGTGTACTTCCGTCAGGTGCGAGACAAATCTTTGAAGAGGGGATACTTTCAGAAGGTCAGTCTGCAGGAGTACTGTAGTTCACCTCCATCGTCTCTGAAGGAAAACTTCAGTCTGAATCCACAACCAAGACTAAATTCATGTGTTTATGTGTACGGAGTAGAGTTTGTGATGAGATTGATTAGTCAAACTGTTAACTATAGCAGTGGAAAGTAATGAAGTACATTTACTCAAGTATTGTACTTAAGTACAAAATAAGTCCCTGATTGACTAGTGGCTAGAATAAACGTGTAGAAAGTACTGAGTTTTCAGGGTATACTGATGTCTTTTTTTAAATAAATATAGCTATTTCTCTCTCCATGTGTGTCTCTCCCAGTCTCTGGTGCTCATCAGTAAGCTGCCCTATGTGACCTTCTTCCACTCCCTGTTGAAGATCATGGCTCCAGCATACTTTGAGAAACAGGAGCCCTGTCTGGAGGCTGGTCAGTCTGACTACCTGTCTCTAACTTTGCTGTGAATAGACTGGGGAAAAAAGATTGAACTGGTCCAGAACTCAGCTGCACAACCTGTAACTTTACAGAGATTTATTTCAAAATGTACATAACAACATACAAGGCACCACATGCTCAGGCCACCTTGTACTGTGTGATCCAGGGTGAACACTAGAGGTGATTTTTTGCTGTTGCCCCTTCACTGTAGTACCACAGAACCATGTTTTTATTTACTTTCCTCTTGTGTTACCTTTCCAGGCAGATCATCTTACCTCCACCACAGTAAGATGGTGATAAAAGGAGTTTCAACACTTATAAACAGAGCCTTGAAAAATTATGGGGAAAAAATCCACAGCACCACCTTTTTTCACTGTTCCAGTCACATACATAGTGGATATTTTTCATTGTGTGTTGTCTTACAAAGAAATAGTCCCTTTGAAACTGTCCACAAGTGGAATTTTGTGGATTGTCTGGAGTTACAACAGCACTTGATGTTTTTCAGATGACATTTTTCAGTGCTGTGGAGAATCTACTCCCCTTGTCTCATCAGGGCTTTGTTTGTCTCTGTCTGTATAGCAGATTCTGATTCAGGGTACTGTTTGTGTATTTGACAGCTTGTAATGACGTTGACCGCTGGCCGACGCCTCATCCTGGACGAATCCTCTTGCTGCCTATTATGGGTGTTGTCATTAAGGTACACACACGCACGCACAATAACTCATTAGGCGGAGAACAGAAGGCATTTAATTTTGGCTCATCATGGCAGGTAGACCACATGTGCAACTAATTCAAATGCTCAGCCACGCCGCATTTGGATGTGTTACAGCAGGACTCTGCAGCTGGGAAATGGGACTAATGAATTACTTACACCTGTGTTTGACCATGAAAATGTCCTCTATGGGAAAGGTTTGTTGTGTAAGCATGCAAGTTTTTTTCTTTTGAAGAGAGATTGCAGGCTTTCTGGGGAAATGTATTGTCTAATTAACAAAAACATGGCTCAGAGCACATCTGGCAGCCATGACCAAAGTCACCCACATTATACTGCGCACCCAATTAATCTATTCCTGAAATACTCTGACAAACAAGTTGTTTTAGCTGTGTGCAAATCTGTACAAAACCAAATAGGACATGTACACCCAGGCTCTGATCTTTGCTTAAAGCCTGCACAAGCACTTCAGCGTTAATCTTCTGAAGTACCAACAGACACACAGGAAGTCAGTGTTGTGTTTATTCTTTGTGTTACTGTAGGTTCGCATTCCTACCTGTTACGACAAACCAGGAACTTCACAGCTGGTCCAGTCTACCCAGGTGATATTGACACACACACAACCATAGTGAAGGAGTTGTTTTTTTCAACTTTTGGTCATGTGTATTCACTTCTGAGAGAAGTGTGTGAGCATACATTGTGTTATATGTGATTATTTGAGCTAAAGGAGAGAGTGTGTGTTTTGCAGAGTGACAGTCTGGTGTCCATCGTGCTTCCAACCATCCATGAAGTCGATCTTTTCAGGTGAGACTGCAGTTCACAGGGCCTTTCTTCACCACAATACACATACATGCTTGTGTCACACTGTTTCCACCTGCTGTTCAGTGGTAGTACTGCAGCAGTAGTTGACTCAAGCGCAATCTGGACAAGGAGGTTTTTTTTCCTCTGACACTTAATAAACAATAGATTGCCATCTGTAAATAATTTTTATGGGACCAACTACAGACTGATCTTCTTTGGTGTATTCAGTTTGCGTCCCTAAAACATACTCACTTGCACAGTCAGTGCCCTTATTCACAGACCTCACCCACAGGGTTGGTATGACTAGCATGCATAGTCATGGTAATAATTAAAAGGTCAGTTTTCTGATTTTGATTCACCACTATCACCCTGTTGTGTTAATTTGCATATTCACTTTTCAGGTCATAAAGCCTGCAGGTCATGCTCAGGTTAATTTGTTTGTGTTGTCCTTCACCACAGACAGCTCTTAATGGTAGCAACAGATCAGAAAGAAAATAATACAACTAGGTGTGACAAATATAATCCAGAGCAAAATAAAGTAGACTAACAAATTTTTTTTGGCCTTGTCAGGAGTATCTGACTCCACCAGCCAGGAAAAACACAAGGAAGTAAAGAAATGACCACTGTTCTTTGTTGAAACTGTGTATTCAGATGTGCAATGTCTACAGATGCTCCCCATTCAAAGATAGGTCGGCAAAGCAGACGATGTGCAATCCAAGGAAACGTGAATCTTGATCATGTCAATATTCTTTGCAGTAATGTCACTTCAGCCCTTGTTGGGTTAATGTCCTGTATATGCTCTAAATCTACTACACACAAAATATCCTCTCTGTCTCTCTCCAGCTGTTTCTACCCAGTCTTCTTCCACATCCAGATGCTGTGGGAATTGGTGCTGCTGGGGGAGGCGATCGTCGTCATGGCTCCATCACCAGCGGAGTCATCGGACACAGTGCTGGCACTGGTCAGGTGAGAGACAGCAGGTTACGGGCAGGTCATTGGGCTGCAGGTGCAGGATAATTTGGAAAACTAGTATTTTATAGTGTGACGTTTTTATAGCATTTTGAAGATAATTTTTTTTTAAGTTAATGGGGATTCTGAATGTGTTTAAGGCTCGAAAAAGATGTACAATATCTAGAAATATGTTTCTAATACAGTTCATGTAGCTTTTCACATCTTTGGTTCAGTCTTTTGTGCTGTTTCACAGACAGAACACTTACAGGCTTCCTCTGACGTGTCGTGTGTTTTTCTTTCAGAGATGACATTGGTTAAAACATTAAACTGACTCTTTCTCTCTGCAGCTGTATCTCTCCTCTGCGTTACTGCAGTGACTTCCGGCCGTACTTCACCATCCACGACAACGAGTTTAAGGAGTACACCACCAGGACACAGGCTCCGTGAGTAAAGATGAACCAGCCCAGCAGTTACCATGTCGCCCTTGAGCAACTCGGCGAGTTCCCATTTGCAATTGTTTAACGTACAGCTGTGTTCTGTTGGCATCTGAGCTGGTCAAGGCAGGAAAGAGCATCTCAGGCACTATAGAAAAGGCATATAGAAAATGACAGGCCTTATCTTTTAAACATCAGCAATATAAAACTAACTTTCCTTGTCTAATAAAGACACGGGTTTCAATGGCGTGTTAAGATCAGTGAAACCAGCTGGCTCATGTAGATCAGCGGAGGACCAGGATCTAACCTGGGTCACTGTTAGAGAACATGATGCTGGCATCTCTGATCTGTCTCTCTGTTCTCTCTCTCCAGGCCATCAGTCATTCTAGGAGTGACCAATCCTTTTTTTGCTAAAACTCTGCAGCACTGGCCGCATATCATCCGCATCGGCGACATGAAGCAAACAGGTAGAGAATACTGCTACTAAGTAAAGAAGGTTTCGACTGTTTCATTTAGTCTAATGTGAAAGGATGAATTTTTCCATCTCATTCTAAGCGAATGTTTAAAGAAGGACCCCAGAGTTTCCTTTTCAGCTTGGCAGAGACCAACTACAATATAGACAGGTCAACATAAAACAATCAGTCTGGTGTGCAGGGTACCATTCAAAGTTAAATATATACAGTATATGCTATAGATCTTAGCCCATGCTGCCCACTCCTGTGTTACTGCACAGCTGTACGCTGGATTTCAGGTAACATGTCGGAAAAGCCCTGGACTGTCTAATCCGTTCTGTCTCCACCTCCCAGGAGAGATGGCCAAGCAGACGAAAGTCAAGAAACTGAAAAACCTCAAAACTCTGGACTCTAAACCTGGTAAATGTTTCATATTCTCACATTTTTGTATGTTTTCTTTCTCAGTGAAGTTTTTTATGTGAAGCACTTCAGGGAACTGGCCTGTAGCTCACTCACAAACTCTGCACTGTCAGCAGGGCTTCTCTTACTCTGTCTGATGTGTGTGTGTGCTGTGCAGGTGTGTACACCGCATATAAGCCGTATCTCAACAAAGATGAAGAAATCATCAAACAGCTTCAGAAGGTAAGACGAGGTCTCTTGTCAGTTTTTTTTTCCCCATTCAGCCCACATGCCTTTTAAGGACACTAACTTGTTGTTGTTACTTGTTTGTATGTGTTTGGGAATGTTTTTCTGGCATAACTTCAGTAGGGAAGATGAAAAATAATTTTAAAAAATGAACTTGTCATCCATACGCTGAAGTACAGTGACAGGTACTCGACCAACTTCTCTCTAAACACATCTCCAGTATATTCAGTACTTTGTTCTGTAGCCCAAAAAGATTTATCCTTAAGAGCTGAAACCACAAATGGACTCAAACAGGACTTTTTACAGTGTGAAAATAAACTTTTGCTTTCTTGTGGATTAACTACACAATGAAGACAGTTTCAAAATTACCTTAAATATTTTTTTTGACATTTCTTGTTACAGCAGACAATTTTTTTTTTCCCCTTGATTCTCAGGGTGTTCAACAGAAGAGACCCTCAGCGGCCCAAAATGCAATTCTTCGACGCTACTTCTTAGAACTGACACAGAGCTTCATCATCCCACTGGTAACAGCCAATGTTCTGTACATTTCTCAACATGGTGTTGTTTCATTGCGACTGAGTGCTGTGTAGGCTTCGTCTGTCTGTGTATCTCACTGTCAGCTGTTTGAACAACTATATTACATTGGTATGAGGGCAGTAGTGTTTTTAATCACGTGGACTGATGTACACTTGATACTAAACCATTAGTCATCTGAGGGCCCTCTAGAGGATCCCTGCCCCTGCTGGAAACACAATCACAAACTACACTGAGTCAGCTGTTTAATGTTTTGTGTGAGTGCTGCTGGAAGGTTTAAACTGAAATAATAATGTGTGTGTGTGTGTGTGTGTGTGTGTGTGTGTGTGTGTGTGTGTGTGTGTGTGTGTGTGACAGGAGCGGTATGTTGCCAGTCTGATGCCTCTGCAGAAGTCCATCAGTCCCTGGAAGAGTCCTCCTCAGCTCCGACCATTCATCCAGCAGGACTTCATGAAGACACTGGAGAAGGCTGGACCTCAGCTCACATCCAGGCTGAAAGGAGACTGGATAGGACTCTACAGGTACGTACACCAGTGCTCGTTTCATCCAACTGATACCACCTAGTACATCCTGTCGATACTGTGCTGTTTTTGGTCAACACACTGCAGAAAGAACCAGGCCTTTATTTGAAATAGGCCTCTCCTGTTTTATAAGTTGATTCAATAACAAGCCTCCTTGTTTTTTTAACTCAACAGCTAAAACACTTCCTTTCCTGATAGGTTTTGAATTGAAACGCCTGCAGGTGTTGTGTTTGATTGACAGTAGTGAACCTACAGTAGCTGGAATCACTGTTGTATACTGTAAATGCACATTACCCCGAGTGTCACACAGACTCCTGCATGTTTGTCTGAAGGCACTTCCTCAAGTCTCCGAACTTTGACGGCTGGTTCCGCAACAGGAGGCGAGAAATGACCCAAAAGCTGGAGGCTCTGCACCTCGAGGCACTGTGTGAGGAGGTAAGGAGGGAGGGAGGAGTGTATATGGACTGAGCGTGAAGATCAGACACTGAGTGCTGTTCACATAAACCTGATATTATGATTACATTTCCAGCCTTCAAAGATGATGAGGTCTTTACTTTGGCACAGCACGTTCCTACTCTACAGAGCTGCCTGCCACTATAAAGCAAACCCTGTTTACACCACACTGACACAGTTGTACTCTCCCTGACTGAGTAACAGGAAATTTCACCAGGAACGTTCACTTAATAGATGCGTTTCCACCCAAAATGCCAGGAACAGATATTTTCCAATGGGTAGAGGTTCTTCCACCCACATCAGGGCTAAGTTCTGATGAAGTGCTCTTTCTGAAACACGCTGTTGAGGGATTTTAACATTAACAATCAGTAACATGTTGTACACTATGCACAACAACTTTGAGTCTGAGCCACGTGGTAAATGTTCATCTGTCCTTGTTGATTTAAAAGCAGTTGCTTTGTATTTCTGACATGTGTATTTTATGCACAGCTGGACGTCACATTAAACATCATGCCTCTAATACTGAGAAAGCCTCGAGGAGGCCCAGTTTTACACCAATATAGCAAAATCTCTGTCTAATGGAGGCTGTTGTGACCTTCCCCTCCTTTGTCTTGTTGTCTAAGGCTGCATACCTGAATATTTAACTAGCTTCATCCCAGTGGAGCAAAAACTACTGTGCCTGTCAAAAGGAGATGTCACTGTCGATCCATGCAGGGTTTAGCATTTAACAGATCCAGGAGATCAAGTCAGATCCATTAAGAAGAGACCCAGCCCACTGTTCTCTCCAGTTGTCTGTATCTGTCTCTCTGTAGGATCTGGAGCAGAGGATCCAGAAGCACACAGAGGTGGAGACAGTTGATCTGGTTCTGAAGCTGAAGGATAAACTGGTCAGTACAAACTCATCCAGTCTGTATTGCTGATACTGCTACTGCTATTTGTGCTTTGACTGCTATTTACACTGCTAATACCTCCTTTCTTGCTGCTGCTCCTACTTCTGCTAAGTTTTTAATCAGGGAACCTTTGGGTCAAGCAAACTCTTACAGAGCATTGGTTTCAGGTTCCTAAGAAAAAAAAAATCATGTACAAAGTTCTTAAACATTTTCTAGGATGCTGAAGGTAGAAACACTGGTTAAAAAAAGTTTCTTTGTGATTCCAGAGCTCTGACCGTATATAAATTTACGTGTGGACCTTAATTTAATTTGTTATTATCAATAGGTTAATCCATCCATCCATTTCATGTTGCTCATCTGAGACCAAGTCATGTTTAATTATTACCACCTTAATTGACGCAGCTCTAAAGATAATTGATTGGTTAATCCATTTGTCCTTTCTGCGGCTTCTTTGGGTACAAGTCACATTAATTAATTACATTATTAGAATTATTGTTATATCCTGGTGATAAGCACATAAATGTGATATAACAAATTAGTTCATACTGTCCCTGTTTCCGTCGTAATGTCATACTTCAGCTCAGTATCATTGTGAAACAGTTACTGAAGTGCATCTTAAAAAGTCCTGCATTTGAATCACTGATCACTGCAGAAACTCTGATTGAGCTTTACATGTGAACATGACTGCTCTCTGCTCCAGAGTCAGGCGGAGAGGGAGCAGCTCCCAGTGCGTCCAGGCACCCTGGCAAAACTGAAAGCCCACATTGAGGCCGTCATCCTGGCCTTACCAGAGGACCTGCAGGGCATCCTCCACAAGCCCTCCACACCTTGATCCTGGAGCGTCTGCAACTCCAACCCCAGTTTGAACTTGTTTTAAAGTTTGGGTGTAGTGGGTCTCCTCCCAGTTGGCTCCCAGGTGGAGGGACCCTCGTTGACTCAGACTGGGTCCCGGTTTGAGGGATCCAGTTGGATCTAATGTTATCCAAAACCACACATCCAACTGCAGTAATATTTATGTTTTGTTCCCAAACTGCTACTGTGGCAGCTCAGTGGACCAAGTTTCATGCTTCATTGATCATGTGGTATTGATTGATCTGCTGGAGCAGGATGAGCTACTTGAACAGCATTTGTAAATTGTGAGGATGTTTTTCCTCACAGAGACATTAAGTAAAGAAAGGAGCCCTTGATATGTTTCCGATTCATCTGGTTCACTAAAGGTCTGTGGTGGCCTGTGCGCAAAAGGATTTGTCATCACCTTGGAAGTGAGAGCAGGAAAATGACCCACGGTGACCTTTGACCCCCAGCATTTTTAGCCACTTGATGTTTTTAATTTGTACTTTTTTAACTTGATGATTAGCTGCTGCAGTTCGCCGGAACTGACTCTGCAGTTATTCAACTGTTTTCACAAACTGGTTTTAGAAGAAGTGCACTTCATTGCTGACTGGACCAGTGTGCCCTTCTCATACACTCTGACACTGTTATGCAAACAAACTGAACTGTGCAATGGTTTATGTGAACTTCTACATGCGCTCACGCCGAGCTTTAAGCACCAGCTCTTGTCTCAGTGTGCTCGGGGGCGAATCGCAGCCTTGTATTCATGTCACATGATCATAACAGTTTGGGAATATATTCAGAGTTGTCCTGAAATTTTCTGGGTTATCACTATATTTGTGTTTTTCAGAAGACTGAATCAAAAGGTTGTGCGAAAACCTTTTTTTATTTCAATGGAGTGAGCACCTCTGTGGGTTTAGAAGAGTCTTAGCCTAGTGTCACAGTCAAGACACCAATTTCTACACCAAGAAAACAGTTAGAAAAGTTGTTAGATGATGAAAGATATTTCAAATGAGATGCAAAGTCAAGATTCCAAGACACTAATTTAAATTTTTGTTCTGTTAGGTTAAAATTATGAAACACTAAGTCCAAGTTACTTAACATGATGAGATTCAAAGACTCTGAGATTTTGATTAGAGTCAAAATTAGGTTACAGTTACTATGTCACAAAACTCACTGGATATGTTTTTTTAGAAAAGGTCCTTTAGATGGTCAGGCGGTATTAATGACCCGTGGTAGGTTAGAGGTGGTATATTGCAGAGATGATTTAGGTTAAAATTATGTTGGTGCCTTATAGGAATGAGAGCCGAGCCAAAGACTTGAGTCTCTGAATGAATGAAAACCTGCTCCTGCAAAGAGAAGAGCAGCTCAAGCCTCAAAGTTTCTTCTTACTTCTGACGCTGATTTACTCTGCTGAGGAGCAACTTCGACCCTACTGATGGAAATCCTCAGGAACCAGTTGCCTTCAGGCAAAGAAAAATACTCCTGAAGTCTAATTAGGTGTTTTCTGATGAGTAAGTGAAGTCAGCAGATAAACTGTCAAAATAAAAGCATGCACAAGCTCAGAGTCCTGTCAGATAAAAAGAATAATTAGCACCACAGAGTCTGTCAGAACCTTTGCTGCATGTTTTAGCCTGTGAACTACAACTTGTGTTAATATAGATCATTTTCCACATTAGGTTGTGTTTTTGTGTCCCAGCCATTTGACTTTAGTCACTTATTAAAATGGTAATGAAGCTCTGTTCAACCAGACATTTACATTTTGAAGTTAAAAGGTCAAAACATGCAGAAACATGGTCCTTGAAATTAATCAACTCCAAGCGTCGTCAGGCCAAATCCATATAGATTTATGAACATTTCTGAGCACCTATCAATATAAACATTAACCAAACCATATGTAATGGCAGCAATAACAGTTTAACAGGTCAGCTACTTTATTATCAGATTGTATTTTCAGAGTGTACATTACAATGAATTGTTGGCAGATTAGTTTTTCTAAAGCGTGTGGTGCACATGAAATTAAATGGTGTTTGCATTTCACTATATGACTTGTTTGAAAATGTTAAACGTGTCAAACTTACAGATGGCATTTCTTCTTAATCATTTCGTTGGTCCTCAAACCATCACATAACGTGTGTGAGACTTTGAAATTTGCCTTTTTGTCAAGCAGGTAATTGTAAAGAAATTGAACAAAACGCACCTGCTGGTCGGTAAAACCTGTAACATCCGGTTGTTGGACAACCATGTAAGTTTTATATTTGTATTAAAAAAAACACTTATTTTGACAACTTCATCATTTTTATAAAGTGCTATTCTCATATTCACCCGTAGAGAATGAAGAGTTTGGTGTAAAGTGAAGCTGTTGTCCATATCTGAGGGCCTACAATTTGATTTTACTTTTACAACAGATGTCTTACTAAATACAGAGATTTTAATCAGACTTGCTTCATCTAATGTTCATTCACCTAGTACAATGACCAGCGGTGGTAAGTAAAATTAGCAATACCACAGTGTAAAAGTACTGTGGTACAAGTAAAAGCCCTGCATTCACAATGTTACTTATGTAAAACTACTAAAGTTTTAGCATCGGAATATACTTGGAGTACCAAAAGTAAAAGTACTCATTATGCAGAATGGCACATTTCACGTTAATGTCTACCATAATAGATTATAATTATTGATGATTACTGTGTTCATCACTTTAATGTTGCTGCTGAAGGTGGAGCTAATGTTAACTACCTTATAGACACTTTGAAGTACTTTAAAATACTTCTGGGTAGCTTGTGAATATTCCACCAAGGATCAATAAAGTCTCATGATTATACTGTATTTTGCTTTATTAATCTGAGTCTGAAAAGTACAGTAACTAAAGTTATTACTTACATGTAGTGCAGGAAAAAAAAGTACAATATTTGCCTCTGGAATGTAGTGAAGTAGAAGTATGAAGTAGCAGAAAATGAAAATACTAAAGTAGAAATACCTCAGAACTGTACTGTAGTGAATGTACTTGGTACCTTTCCGCCATTGGTAACTACAGTGTTGTTGAGACACTGATGATTTTTCTTCACTGGCCATAAGAATGTGACTGACATTGTTTGAATGAATCTCTCTTTTGCCATCTGTGCATTGGTGTCAGTGGTCATTTATACATATTTAGCAAAATGTGATTATCATATCACATGAGGACACAATGCAGTTTCCCACTAACACATTTTTGTGTAGTAGACTGGCGTCTGCTTTGTGTTCGGAGTGAAGCCAAGAGTTAAACACCAGTATTTCCACAGACTGTGCCGCTGGCCAGACTTCATGCAGGGGTAGACATGGCTGATTACTGAAGGAGCCTCAGACACTGGCCCAGGGGCCTGAGGATTCAGGGGGGGGAACCACAAAGAGAGAGTGTTAACCTTCCTGTTGGAAGGTTGGCCAAACTACAAAAAGCAACAGAATGTGAAAAAATAGACACAAAACTACTATAAAGAAACACAAAATGAAGAAAAATGACAAAATGGCCACAACAAATATGTCGAATGGCAAAAAGAGAAAATACAGCTACAAAGAGATGCCAAAGGTTACCACATGGCTAAAAGCAAACACAAAACAACTACAAAAAAAAAGATACAATCTTGTCTTAAAGATAAGAATAATAAGGATAATCACTTTATTTGGCCAAGTATATTACACACACAAGGAATTTGTTTCTGGAACAGAACTGTCTTCACAGTGTTGTTACTGTTGTTTTTCATGTCTGACGGTTGTTTTGTGCCTCCTTGTTTTGTCTTTTACTGATGTCTGTGACTTTCAAACTAGAAATATGTCACTTTATACAGAGGCACAGGCCCAAGGACCCTTTGACCTCTTGGACCCATGAGCCTGTGCCTGGTAGACCCTCCCCGTAATCCACCCATGTAGGGCAGTCCTGGACACTGTAGTGTATTCACCACCATTCGGGGTTTATGAGGTGATTTTTGTTGTACTAATTCTACCTTAATAGAAGGAACTTAAAGTCAGGGACATTTCTTTTCAGAGTAGAATCAGCCTTCATCACTGAAGAGAGCAGAAACTTTAATAACGCATCTCATCCTGAGCTGCACGTTACACAAAGATGACGATCAGTAATATTCTCTGAGACATTGGTTTATTAAGATACAAAATGAAGCAAACAACTTAAAAATAGAACAACAAAAAGCCAGAGACAGTAAAAATTACACCAATAAGCTCATACAGCATGTCGACTAGTTTGCTGTATACAGTATAATCACATACATGAGTTTCATTTACACTGAACTATTGATTGACTGATTGATCCCGACTGTTAATTCTTGTTGAGGAGGTTGTTAGATGAGGAGCAGAGGAAGCAGCTTCTCCTACACACACCCCTGTATGTTTCATTACAGCTGTTTTGTCTTGCTCTCCATACTTTCCCCCAGTTGGACAAACTTCTTGGCCTTCTCCCACTTCCGCGCACGTCCTATTCCCCATCTGTTGATCAGCTGTTTTCCCTGCCACTGATAGACGTCCTCCAGTAGCATGTATCCTCTGGAAGAGTAGCTGATGTAGGACCAGGTGAGGACCGAGCCCTGGTACGACCTGAAAACACAAGTTTAACACAATATAAGATAACAGACCACAGAAGGTACGGTGTATCAGCCACTCTGATCATTATTCCAGTGACCATGGAAAGATAGGTCCTAAAAGGTTTACATATCATCAAGATTTTCTTTTTACTGTGAACTTGATTTTCTCTTAAGTTTTAATGAAACATATCATCTCTCACCACGTTTTATACAATATTTTGTTGTTCTGATCATTTGGTAAATGCATTTTGATAAACACGGTATAAACCTGTTTTGAATCGAGTGTTTGGTTTTGATTTAAACTGTGTGTGAAGGTTTGTGGACCAGATTTACCAGTTAAAGTTTGATGTGAACAGATATAATGGAGCAATAAATTACTAAATATACTGATCACACACAGTTGTCTTTCTATACTTCCAAGGACACAATGCAATCTCTAGGCCCAAACCTAAAGTGAATCCTAACATTAATCTTAAAGCCAATTCCTCAAAGAGAAGTGAGGATTACCCAAAATGTCCCCAGAATTTAGAGATGTCCTCACTACGATGGTTTAAACCTGAAACTGACTGGAGGACACACACACACATACATACCCGTAGACACCGCCACTCATGTAGCTGTAGACTTCATTGTAGCGGAGAGGATAATCCCACATCTGGATGTCTGTCACCTGACCATCAAAACCTGAGAAATCAATCACAGGCTCACCTGACCACACGTACTGGACACACACACACACACACACACACACACACACACACACACACACACACACACACACACACACACACACACACACACACACACACACACACACACAGCAGAGAGCTAATATCAGAATCAATGACATAGATTAAAGATGATTATACACCAAATCCATCAAGTTGCTGTAGTGTTTGTTTTCTTATATTCAAACCACTGAAGCCTTTTTCAGACACGACAGTTAGTTGGAGACAAAAACAAGTGATATTATCACTTTAGATTGGTTCATTCCCAGTTTACTGAGAGGTCAGTGAGGGCTGCTGTGTTTAGGAACCTCACTGACGTTACCGATGCTGTGATGTTTGCATACATGTCAATGTGCACTGGACTTCAGTACACACAGCTGCACTGGAGAGCGTTGGGTTGTGTCAGTGTTCCCCAGTCCAATATATTCAGTTGACTTATTAAGTTGTTGAGTATTGAATTTCAGGGAACACCTACAGGATATGAGGGTATCAAATGGGAGTAAAAACTTTTAGGGTTAATTTTTCTCCCAAAATATGAAGCTATAGACACACTGATGTGATAATATAAGAAATGATAACGTGATTACTGCTGGTTATGTTATTCTGTCCTCACCTTATAACGCAGCATCTTCTTGATGCTCATGTTGGAGCCGCGGAACACCTGGGCCACAGGTTTCATGGAGTCCATGGTGATGCAGACTCTGGTCCAGATCTCCTCATAAAGGTTTGGAAAGAACTTTATGTTGGGTATGAAGGATTGGTAATAACCGTATGGGTTTGTGTACAGCTGGAATGCTGTGTCACTGAGAGTCAGCCTCAGAGGTTTACGGGATGGACTGAGTGTCAAGGTAACAGACGGTGAGTCGGTGATGTAACGCAGACACACGGACACACCTGCAGGGTTCATAAGAACAGTGTTGATGGGCAAAGTTAATAATCACGCATCTCAGACTTCATTCATTTATATCTCCCTCATCTCCCCTGCACTAACTCTACGTCCCTGAAGTTACCCCTCCTTTCCCAGCGTTCCCATTCACCTGCTCACCTGCTTCCTTTCTAGCCTTCCTGTTGCCTGTATGCCTGTTACCCTTCCTGACCCTTGACTGCCTTCTGGGACTGTTTGCCTCAGTTTTGCCCTGTTTGCTTAATGGGAGGTTGCCTCTGCCTGATCCCTTGTTTTTGGTTTGCTTCCTTAAATGAACGTACTTCCACACCTTTCAGCATTTCATTTGAGTCTGGTTCTATTCATGTTCAACTGTTTTGCATATGTAGGCATAAAATATGTCTCAGTCATGTTTTAGTCTTAATGCATTTCACAGGTTAAAAATCAATCTTTGCAGGGCACAGAGCAGTTAGGAGAGGTTTATGGCGTCTGTTTGTTTTGAGTCTCACTAAACCCTCTAGGCTGAAGAACATTAATTTGCTTGTTTTGTCTATTTCCATTTGATTTTTAGTTGCCATGCATTGAGCTCTCAGGTGAACAGGAGATGTGAAAGGATTCAGTTGATAAAATGCTACCAAAGCTGACACCACTCCATAATAAACTAATAGCATAATAAAGTGACAAAGTCATTCTGTCCCCTTGTGGTCAAAATTCTACAATGCTGCTTCAATCAAAACACGCAAAACATGACTGACATGTTTCTTATAAACAAGCATGTAAAGTTGATCGATGTCTGGACTCTGTTCCTTGTTTCATCAACTCTTAAGAGAAAAACATAGCAGAGGACACAGTTGAAATAACATTTGGAACTTCATATCTTGACACTGTGTTTCTGTTTGATTTTGTAGTTTGTGTATTTTCTCACCCTGAGTGGAAGGTGTTGTGGTCCAGGAATAGTAGGGAGTAGAAGAAAAATAAGGGGAATAGAAGGATATTCCTCCACTGTTGGACAAAGTGAACATCTTCCCATACAAATTAAGTCCAGTGTGACCTGGAGAAAGAAACAAGAACACAAATTTCCTTACTCTTCCTATGCCAATTAATTTTTTTATATTTATTTTTAATTGTGTTTCTCATTTTCCAAATAGTCTACTGCAACAACAAACTTGTGTTTTGCTACTATTAGCACTGAAGCAAAGAAGGAAGTCTGGGCATCTTTGCTTAGACTGCTGCTCCCGCAACCCGGTTCCAGATAAGCGGAGGAAAATGGATGGATGGATGGATGGATAGCACTGTTCATGTTTCCATTCTTTACAGTTTCTATTTTTATTTTAGCAGGTATTAGAATTTATTTTCGATATATTTTTACTTCACCTTTGCATAAACGTTTCTGTTAGCTGGTAAATACCAGTTTTTGCCTGGTAAAATTTATGAGAAAAACCAGTCAGCATATCCGGTAATAACGCCTGCATGCTTGGCTACACTGGCAAAACTGCCTGTGTTTATGCCAACAGAGAGGCTCCTCTCTAGTGGTGGTGGCGAGGATATCAGCAAGTTGCGTGGTTGTCAGTGATTAGAAAGTGAATGAATGTGCTTATGAGCAGGTGATCATGGAAAGATATTTTTGTGGCTAAAAGTAATAACTGGAAAATATTGTAATGTAGGCTGAATGGAATAAGAAGGCAGAGACAGAAGTTGCCTTTTTGTGTGCTCCCTGGAGCCACATCTATTATCAAAGAACCCATGGTGCTTTTCCTTGTTTTTTGACTTATCTACAATGTTACAACTGTGAATTATCAGCTTAGACGTGACCTAAAGCGACAAAAAATGAGGTGAAAGTATTTTCTAGTACTTCTATGCAGAAGTAACTCGGGCTATACATGTCTTGCAAACTCTCGTTGGCGAGACTTTTTTCTACTAATATAAAGTATAAAGTGATAGTTTAAGGATTTCCTTGAATGGTCATAATCTCCAGGCAGTTGCGCGTTCATGTGAGCTTGCCTAACATCCACGGTACCATTGTAGAAGCGGAATTTCGAGATTGTGCGTGGTTTTGTGGATATATTTTGCTTCCTGCTGCTGCACTTTGACCAGAGGATGTGGAGAAAAACACAGGGCCTGAGCTTCCTGCATGTCCAGTGATTCAGTGTGTCAGGTGTCATTTTGTCCCGTTCTTCCTGCAAAAAAGTCTTAAGGTGCAACATTCCTACGTTTTTGTTGACACAATCTGCGTTTCAAAATGCACCACATGTTCTCTACTGGGGACAGGTAGGGACTGCAGGCAGGCCGGTCCAGCACTTGCCCCCTTTCCCTCCACAGCCAGGCCTTGGTAATGTGACAGTATGGGGTTTGCATTGTCTTGTTGAAATATGCATGGGCGTCCCTGGAAAAGATGTGGTCTTGAAGGCAGCACATGTTGCTCCAACATCTCTCTGTACCTTTTAGCATTAATGGAGCCAACACAGAAATGTAAGTGACCGTTGCCACAGGCACTGATACAACCTCAGACCATGACAGATCCTGGTTTTTGGACTTGGTGCTGGTAACAGTCTGGATGGTCCTTTTTGTCCTTGGTTCGGAGTACACGACGTCCATTCCTTCCAAAAAAAAAAGACCTGAAATCCTGATTCCTCTGACCACAGTGCACGTTTCCACTGTGTGATGGTCCATCCCAGATGCCTCTGAGCCCAGAGCAGTCAACTTCTGGACACTGCTGACACAGGGCATCCTTTTGGCACAGCACAGTTTTAAGCAGCAGTTATGGATGTAACTACGTATTGTAGTGGCTGACACAGATGTACCAAAGTCATCCTGAGCCCATGTGGTTATATCGCTTATATGAAGAATAGTGACCACACTTTATGCAGCGCCCTCTGAGGGATCGGAGAGCTCGGTCATCCAGTTTAGGCTTGTGCCTTTGGGCTTTACAAACCGAAATCCCTCCAGATTCCTTAAATCTTTTAATTATGTTCTGCACTGTAGAAAGTGACCGATCCAAATCTCTTCCTATCTTTCTTTGAAGAACACTGTTTTTAAACATTTCAATTATTTTCTCATGCAAAAATGTTGTGCTTGAGACCAGACTTTATAAAAAAACCCTTTATCTCAGTGAAGCTAGAATTGTGTGTTTATTCAACAAAAATATCTGCATGGCATTGAAACAAGAATTTAATCGTTAGCCTCACATGAATATAATTATGTGACCAAGAAGATTCAACTTGGCAGAACTCTTGTCCAAACTTGTAAACCATAGTAAATCAACAAAAGTAGTCAAAAGTTGAGAAAACTCAAAAATCAGTTGCATTGTGTTGCCTTGATCATTTGCATTTTCTCTGTTTGTTTTTCTTTTTACTGGTGTATAGGACTCTGACCTGCTCTAATATCTTTCAGGAGCAGAGGTAGTCTGCATGTTAGTGTTGGTACTGTTACAGCAACTTGTTGTTAATGCTGGAACCTGTCAGACTTGTCTGTTTTATTGTTTCTCACTGTCCATGGGCAGCCAAACTAGTCTTACCTCTGGTTATGTATTTATTTTTTCTGTAACAGAATCAAAGCCTGTTTAGAGTTGGTATGAAATCTGGAACTATGGCACAGCAACCTGTCCTCAGACACTCAACTTCACTGAAATGTCTTTTAAACCAATAAACCATGAAGTATGTGTTTCGTTTTGTTTATGTGACCTGCATTTATTTAAAAATGTCTTTAAAATTATTGTGTGTGCGTGTGTACCTGTTGTCCATGCTGTGGAAGTTGTGGTCCATCGAGTAGTAGTTCTTCTTGTAGTAGTAGGTCTTGTTGTAGTAGGTTTAGGTTTTGTTGTAGTAGTAGGTCTTGTTGTAGTAGGTTTTGGTTTTGTTGTAGTAGCAGTTGTTGTACTTGTAACCCCCAAAGCCAATATTATTATGGCCACAGGAACAAAAAGCTGCTTCCTCTCCATCTTCATCCTCATCCCACTGACAGAGTCTCTGCAGTGATGTGTCTGTGTATTCTTGCTGCGTTTTTAAGTGTTTATCTGTCTGCACTTACTTTCATTTCCTGTTTCAGGCGTCTTGCAGTCACTTTAAGTTTCGTTTCTGCCCACAGAAACCTTCCCATCCAACAGTGTCCTCCCATGTCTCTGATTAAATTAGTTTTGTTCTCTTCCACCTGTTTTGACTGAATCACAGTGTTGAACCTGCCCAGAAGTCAGGAGTACCTTTAATTATATAGAAGTAATTGTTTATTTAAATCTGAATTGCATTTTATTATAACAAGCATTGCAAACGTGCTGCATCTAGACAATAGCAAACACATCATGTTACAAAACACAGTTCACTCTTCATGAATGAACATTGTTTATATTGTTAATGGAAATAACCTTCAAATACTTTAGACAAAGCAAATTGTTCAGTTTTCTTCATGCCTGCAGAGTAAAATTAAACTATATGTATAAAATATATTAGTACATATGCCTATCTACAGTATCTACATATAGTAGTGTAGCCTACTATACTGTTTATAATAATACAATTATTAAGAAGAGCTGAAATTTTACTGGGAAAATTTCTAAGTAAAATTATTAAAACAATACTAAGTAATATTTTAGCTCCACAACAAATTTAAGCTTTACCAACTTAAGCATTTTGGGCACTTTGGGGAATGTTCCTTGAGGTTCTTCAAAGGTTTTTAAAGTAAAATGCCTGACACAAATAAAATTTGTGGCACTCAAAATTCAATTACATGTCCCTCAAGAAGCAGCAATGTCCTTCTCATGGTTATTTTACTTTTTATGCAAACCACTTTCTAATGAAGAAATATGAAAATTGTTTAGCGTCATAACTTATTTAAGATGTGTCAGGGAACCAGACACAGTTTAGACACAGACCAACAGTTCAGCTAATGGCGTATTCTACAATCATCACCACTGACAATGTTGTAATGTTGTACGTGGAATAAACCAGTTCAGTAAGAGCAAAGTGCAGAGGAACCACGTGATGTCTCACTCTGGTGTGATTTCCCTTAACCATAAACACAGCACAGCCTGTTCTTTGTGACCTTATCAGCACTGAGCTCCTGTCCCCTGTGTGTTTGAAAGTCTGGGAATGAGAACTGTATATGCAGACAGATTCCAGTGTATTTAGACTGAAATACACAAAAAGGATTCTGTTTACAAAATAAGGATTAACATTTCTGTCCTTAAGGGAAGAAGAAAGTTTTGGAACAGGCTTTAGGCTCTCAGTGAAAAACTCTTTTCACAGACATTTACAAGAAACACACACAACCACAACCCAGAACTGAACTGAAAACAACTTGCTGAGTCAGTAAGTGTCAACTCTCAGTTCCTAAATCCTGCTGCATTTCAGTGGCAGATAAAGCATTTTCCTTTAAAGGTTTAAAAAATAAATATATATTGGCATTTATTCATCTGTGTATAAAAACACTTATGGATGGTTCATAAGAGGAGTTATAGATGTTGACAAATACATTTTATAATGTTCTTTTATTGAACAATTAATTTACTTTTTATTTATTCTTTATATACTGTTTATACATGTTAGTTATTTATGTAAGTTAAGGTATGAGTCATACACTCTATTAGTATTTGGTAGTGTTGCCTTTTAATTGTTTAACTTGGGTCAAACATTTCAGGAAGCCTTCTACAAGCTTCTTACAGTAAGTTGATGGAGATTTACCCCATTCCTCCTGAACTGGTGGAGCTGAGTCAGGTTTAATAATACATATATAAAATACAAACTGAGTCAAGACAAATCCAATTATTGATACAGGTAGTGCCAGACAAACCCAGTGTTACAGATAAAACACAGTGTCAGTTCTGCCAACAACAACAGGAAGCTGTAGCAACACTTCCTGCTGCAGTTAAAGACACATGAACTAAATATGCAACCAAATTATTATTTTTACATTTAATTTTTATTTCATTTTATGAATAATAAAAAATACACAACATTAAACATAAAAAAATTACAAACAAAACCTATTGGCTTAAAAGAAAAGGGTTGAAAAAGTAAGTAAAACACAAATGCCACCAGATCAGCTGATACAGCGCAGCTCTGTTGGTGACCGCCTTCATATCTGTTTGCAAAAAATACAGTATTTTAATGATTTTCTTGAAAAATTCTTTTACTGTATTCATAGTCTACTAATGTGTGTGTACAGTATTATGTGCCTGTAGTACAGAATATTGTATGATGCATAGTGTACATGCACTGAGTTTTTAATTTATTAGGTACACAGCTAAAACTAAGCCAGTCTAATCCAACAGTCTTGCACTAAATCCTCCTTCATGGGGTGATAATGTTCAGTTTGTGTTCAAACTGTTTTAGAGAGGTGTTGATTGAACATTTTGATCATTTAGGAAGACATTACTGCTGTTGAACTGTGTTGTGTTGTGTTATTCCAGTGAAGATGCACACAATGTCAAGACACTTGTCGTTGTTTTTGGTCTCATTGTAGTTATTTTGGTTCTGATTTTGCTAAAAGTAAAAATATATAGGCCTGTAGAATATTACAAGGCATATCCTTTACTTACAGTCATGTTAATAAAGAAAATTTGATTGTAGTCTTCTGTGTGTCTTTGTGGTCATTTTGTAGGTCTTTGCAGTTGTTTTGTGTTCTTTTGGGGTGTTTTGTGTGTCTTTGCAGTATTTTTGTATCTCCTTGTGCTAGTTTTCTATCCCTTTGTGTATGTTTTTTTTTTGTCTTTGTAGAAGTTTTGCATTTGATTTGGTAACAGTAGGAAAATACAGAATATCAGTCATATCCATTTACCATAGCGACGTGATTAAAGTTCATTTGATTTTGAAAAGAATTCAACAAACTTTTATTTTGAAGGCCGTCTGAGCGGGAACAGTGTTTTCCGGTGTGCTGTGTTGACACCGATTGCGCCTCCGGTTCCACCGTGTACCGAGCTGACAGCAGCCGTGATGACACCCTGGAAAACACACGTGCCAATGCTGCTCTATAAAACCACACACACTCGCTCACACCGACACAAACACAGACACAGACACACACGAAACGAGCGGAGTACTACGGAGAGGAACTTTCTACCTGAACGTCATGGGCGTCATCATCTCACACATCCTGTCCAGGTTCTTCAGCAAGACACCTGTCCGGATCTTAATGGGTGAGCTGCGATTTCACTGTTTCTGTTTGTTTGTTTGTTTGTTTTTTAACAGCTGGTTGTTCACACATCAGTTTTGGGAAAGACACTGTTGTTACTTGTAGCTGTGAAGACTGAAAAGATGTGAGATTAAATGTAAATAAAATCATACACCTGGTAAATAATCGTAGGCCTAATCAATCCTACAGTTTTTCTCTGATGGATTCACACATTAAACCAGTATCATCATGAAACTGGTATTGAATTACGTTCCATGTGGTACTGAAAAGGTCTTTAAAGGAAAATGATTAACGTTTGACAACTATTATCATTATTGTTGTTGTTGTTATTATTTACCATAGGAGTTTTAGTAGAAGTAGGATAAATAGTAGCTTCTTTGTAATTTAATTGAATCTTTACAGTTTCATGAATTTAACTTTACAAATTAAATAATAAAATAATAATAAAATAATTAGCATTAATGAACTTCATCTGTGCCACCTACAGTACACAGTAGAATACTGCAAACACATGGTGCATCAGTAATGATAATCCAGTAATATGTAATTGTACACATATTAGACGGGACATTTTTCTGCATAATGAGTACTTTTTCATTTGATACTTTAAATATATTTAGTTGATAATATTTTAATACTTGAAGTAAGCATTTTCAATGCAGGGCTTTTATATGTAATGGAGTACTTCTATACTGTTTTTTGTCTAATGAATGTGTGTGTGTGTGTGTGTCACTGCAGTGGGTCTGGATGCAGCAGGTAAAACCACTCTGCTGTACAAACTGAAGCTGTCCGAGGTTGTCACCACCATCCCAACAATCGGTGAGCCTGTTTAACCTCCGTCACATGTGAGTACAGGAAACAGGAATTAATATAAAGTCATATAATTAACTGTGTGTGTGTGTGTGTGTAGGTTTTAATGTGGAGACAGTGGAATATAAGAACATCAGTTTTACCGTTTGGGATGTTGGCGGTCAGACCATCATCAGACCTCTGTGGAGACATTACTACACTAACACACAGGTAATACTATAGCTACTACTACTACTACTATGTTACTACAAAAAGAGCGCATGTGCAATAACTTCTGTCTTCTTCAGGGTCTGATATTTGTGATCGACAGTAACGACCCCGAGAGGATTAAAGAGGCTGCTGACGAGCTGCACAGGATGGTAACAAGCTTTTCTCTTTAGTATTTCAAAACACACACACCTAGTTAGTACAGTACTGTCTAATTAAGGCAGAAGTTACAGTGCTGCATCTGTTGCAGGATTACAAAAGATGGAAACTTTATTGGATGTCATCAGAATGACTCAGAATCAGCTCCGGTTAACATATTTTAACCTGAACTCATCCTGGAGGGCCCCCCAAAAACATGACATAATTAATTACAAGTCCACTGAAATTAAATGTCCAAACCAAGACTTGAGTTCACCGTCATAAAAACCTGAGAAACTGGTACCAGTGATGTTTTTCCATTTTTGATGAAAAAATGATAATAAATCAATAAATCAGTTATCACTGACAGATTAATCTGAATTCTATCACTGATTGTCTGATTTCAGCAAACACATTCCAACATTACTCCAACTGTCACTGTTTTGTTAAGTCACCATGGTTTTGTGTGTGTGCTGCAGCTGGAGGAGGACGAGCTGAGGGGTGTGGCTGTGCTGGTTTTGGCTAACAAACAGGATTTGCCCAGAGCCATGTCCGTCAGTGACATCACCGAGGCCCTGGGCCTATCAAGAGTCTCACACCCGGTGAGTAACAGATTAACCTGTAAGACTTAATGAAACATCAAGTTATTGCAAAGCAGATTTACGCTGAACTCTTAAGAAGCATCAGTTAAACTCAAGAGAACCTGGCTGCAGACAAGATGGCGGACTGACCATCTCGGCAGGAAGTAGGCAACATTAGCCAGATGCTGTCAACCTCAGCATGTTTGTGGTTAGGCGTTTGGGTTAATGTTAACCCTACCCATAACCTGGCTTCTGGAAAAAGTCAACATCTGGGTGAGGTTGACAGAGCACAAATTTTGGTCGCAATCCCCCATCTTGTCTGCAGCCCGGTGATTCTCGTTACACTGCGTGTTGCTTGTTTCATTTAAATCTCACATGCAGTGCCCTCTAGTGGCAGGTTTGGGCTCAGCTACTGGACACACTGAGTTTAAAAGACCATGTCATTGTTTTCCAGATGATCAACTGAGTTGAGCTAATGATTTTGTCCCTCTGTGTGTCGGTGCAGTGGTTTATCCAGGCGTCCTGTGCCATCAGTGGTACAGGTCTGGTCGAGGGTCTGGACTGGCTCTCCAACCAGATCCTGAAGTAGTAGAAGCTCCACAGTTCTGATTCATTGACTTCCTGCTCAAACATCAGGCTGTCCTCTGTGGACGGAGACAGTGAATCCAGGAGAAACATGAAGGGTCACTTCTGGATTTGACATTTAACCTGCTGTGTTTGCTGCATACAGAGAAGACTGTCGGCACCGACTTCCTTATGGGAAACCCTTCACAATTTGTTTGTGCCACATTTACATCACTTTATGAAAATCAAAACATTAGGATGACATATCAGAGCAGCAGAGTGAAACCAAAGCATCGGGAGGTATTTTGATGAAGACAAGGGGAAAAAATTGAGAAATGTCAAAACTATACATGTTATTCTGTGTAACAGAAATATCTGTTGATCCCTCTGTTTTTTCCTTGGAAGATGTGTTTTAGACAAACCAGGTGGATCATTGTAACGGAAACTTCACTGCACTGATTTTCTGCACTTTTTCATCTGTTTAGGGATTATTTTATCGAATTGTTTGTGAGTTTACTTTTGAAATAAATATATATCTTGTCTTTTACAATTCAGTCATGTGCTTCCTGCAACAATCAAATTTCTTCATAACATGAACACAAAGACAAACACGAATTCAGGAGTTAATTATAAAACCTCACTTTGACGTGGAAACTGGATCCACAGGTTTATGTTTATTGTAACGTCCTGCTGGTTTGTTGGGTATATGTAAAGATGTGTATGCAAACAAATATATATATATATATATATATATACAGTATAATGTGTGTGTGTGTGTGTGTGTGTGTGTGTGTGTGTAGATCCACACCTGTGAAACCTTTCCTGAAATTCTTGCAGATGGTTTCATCTAAAAGCATCAGCAGACCGACTCAGCCGAGTGGAGTTAGTGCTTTATTTATAACTGAAAAGCCATTTATTAACCATGACACTGGAACATCAATCACAGAAACATATTTACACTGCAACATCCTCGATCCCATCACGTTCTCCTACATCAGTAAAGTGCAGCGCCGTCAACATGTGTCCTTCACAGAAACAAATAAATCATCATCAAGAACTTTCAGAAACTCACCAGGGGGCTATGACCTCTGAGCTTAAACATCCCAATATGTAGGATCTTGAAACTGAAGCTTATTCTGCTTTTCCTACACATAGTCACTGTGAGTCACACTGGGCACAAGCAGATGAATGAAGAAAATCTGTGAGAAGCATAAATGCCCCAAACAATGACCTAGAGAAATACAGATGAATGCAGTTACTTGTGAAGAGAGTCAGCTGGCAGAGAAGACAGATGGTTTGTTTTCATGAAACATGGATCTAAACATTAATACATCAAGGGGCTAAAAATGTGAAATTGCACCTAAATGAATAAAATGTGCCAGCTTATCAGAGAACCTAAACGTTTAGCCCAACCTGTCTTTGTAGTTTTTATTACAGAAAACCAAATGTGAGGAGACACCTTGATCAGATTAGTGCTTTTCCAAATGTCAGATCAGTGTTTCACAATCCGAATGGACCAGGAGAGGACAGCAAAGCATCTTTTCTAAAATCTGAACTGTGAGTGCAAAAAGTACATGACTCTCTTTAATGAGCGATACTTTCATGAAGCTATTTATTGTGCGAGTGTCAAATGTTTTACTTAGGAAAGAAGCTCTTCAAATGATATTAAATCAGTTCTACTGTCATGATGATTCAACATGTTTCAAGACTGTCTGGAAGGAAGGACAGAGTATGTGAAAAAAATCTCAAAGTCCTTCAGAGCGTAATGAGCCAATGAAGACATGACACAGGAAGGACTCTTCAAAATAAGACTCCCTGCTTTTTCTCTTGTTTAGAACATTGTATCTCAATGATATTGACAGATAAAACAGATGAGGTGTCCTGTTGTCCTTTGGAATCTCCTAATGGCCAAAGAAACTGTCACTTCCTGTTTAAGAGCCCTTGAGCAAGAGCTGATCTTGACACTGTCCAAATCTACCTTCTGTGTTTTTTCACGCTGTCTCCTCCAGATCCTGGTTCATTGTTCCTCACGTGCTGTTTTGCTTTATATCCTCTGTAATTAACTGTTAGCTACTTTCATAAAAAAAAAAAAAAAACTTGCAGGTTATTCTATATTTTTTTGTCCTTTTCTGGATAGTGGTGCCGGTACAAAAGCAGCTTTTTTTTTTACACATGGAATAAAACACAAATTTGTGAAGAGACGTTTCCATACCCATCCCCTCTACGTCCTCTTATAGTGAGGGTACGTTTAGTTTATCCTCTGCTTTCAGAGTGACAGGCTCCACCACAGTCCAGCAGAGAGGGAGCACATGTTTTTCAGTCCCAGGCAACATGGGCGGGTGGGTGGTGTTCCCCCCCTCTGATTCCTGAGTTGTTGTCTCAACAGTACAGGCTGGGACTTGCCTGGGAGTTAAAACATGCATCCTCTGCCTATTGTTAGGCTTCAGACTCGCCCCTCTTCTTCCCCTCCTCCCCAGCATCACTGTCCTCTGATTGGCTGTTGCTAAGCACTAGGACCTGTCCATCAGAGGAGGGCGGGTTGGCAGGACGACTCGAGGCAGCGATCAAACGGCTCTGCTCCTCCAGATCCTGAAAAGATCGCATTTGAGTTGTATATCAAGACAGTCATGCTCTAAAATAAGCGACATAATGATGAACATAAAGTGTATGCCACAGTCCGTGCACCCTGCTGAGGCCGTCATGTACTAGCTTTTTATTAACGCAGCACCAGTGTCATCATTCACATACTTGTTTGGGTACTTTGTACATTTTAATCCACCAGATATGCACAGTGTATCCACTAGGATGCAGATTAAAGGTCCAATCAAACCCTGACAGAAAACAGAATCTTCTTTTCAACTTCTGCTTGTGCAAAGTAAATAGAAATCCATGGCAACACTCGAGGGTGGATAATGGTAAACAGACTTGTACTTATATAGCACTTTTGACACACATAAGCACACTCAATGTACTTTTCCATATTGTGCCCATTCATGCTCACACTGATGGTGGCAAAGTCACCATACAGTCCTTCACACACACTAACACACAGATGATGATGTCCACTGGGAGCAGCTTGGGTTTGCTATCTCACCCAAGGACTCTCTGATAGGTAGACTGGAGAAGCGGGGTATTGACATCCGCCCCATTAATGGAGAAGCGGGGTATTGACATCCGCCCCATTAACATCGACAATATTGTCGATGTTGAGATCATGGCAGCTGCAGCCAGACGAGCTCCATAGACCACAATGGTAAAAGAGACATCTGTAAAAACTGTTGACAGGACACCTCAAACTGAAAACCAGGTCAATTATCGCTCTTTGTATAATGAGTTTTAAATCCATTGAGGTTCTGTAATTTTAAATCTTTCCCAGAGCCTAGAAAAGAAACTTTTATTTTCGTGAAGTCTATGTGCCGAGCGAGAGCACACGAGCAGAGGCAGTGGGGGAAACGTTAATGTACAAGCACAGTGGGACACAAAGCACCCAAGCCATCTTTGAGTCTGTGGTCCAGCTCCTATAATAAATCTATGGCTTCTCTTCAAAGCTTTCTGCCATTGTTGTGGTGAACCAACACTTCTGCTGACACCTCTGGTATCTGTTAAGTAACAGTAAATAAACAGATGCTCAACTTTTAAGGTTAAAGATCACCTTCTCTATCTGCCTCTGTTTGCTGAGTTCCTCATGCTGTTTCTCTTTGGCCTTGTCCTGCTCCTTCTTCTTCTCCACAGCCTTGCGGTCCTGCACAACAAAATTACTTAATCTTAATCTCCATAATAAGACTTGAAGGTACTAATTGCATCACAAAAGTGTGAGTACATTTGCATTAGTTTAGCTATAAAGGACTTTAAAATCAGCCTCACCATCTCAGAGTGGAAGGCGATCTGCTTGGCCAGACCGATACTGTCACAAATCTGAAACAAATGAAGAAGATAGACAGGTCAGACAGACAGAACATTGGGTCAGATAGTGAGGTAACCAGCTGAATAGACATTAGACCTTTTCTCCGTCATTATTGGACTCGAAGATGTAGCAGACAGCTCGACTGTTGCCCCGTCCGCCTGCTGACTGTAGTACAAAACCAAATAGCCTCTTGTTTTCCTGATGGGACGAACACTGAACCACGTTGGCGAGTGGAAACTGCAGCAGGACCAAAGAAGAGGAACGACGGGAGGAGACCGGCAAAGAAAACACAGGATACAAAAGAGGAAAGAGACTATTGGAACATAAATCATTAGAAACATGTCTGAAACTAAAGCTAATCCTAACCAGAGAAAGAGCTTGTCTTACCCTCAGGCGAGTAACTTGTGTCTGAGGATCGATGAGCCTGAAAGACAAAATCCATCATCATCATTTATACTGAAGAGTTTTCTGCGTAAAAACAGACAAAGGCAAATCCGTGCCTTCAAATTCAGCAAGAATTTAGACGAAAAGGCAGTAAATAGTCTCTGCACATGAGTTTCACGATGGAGAAGTTGTTTCCAACATGTATCATTCCCAGGAAACAAACCATAGACCTCTGTGAGAGCCAGCAAGACGTCTGTACTGGGAGAACGTTTTCCCAGTATGAATCTGCAGCTGTTGCTCTATGTTTGTTTTGCAGCATTTTTGACATTCTGACCTGAACTCTTTGGCCAAAACTTTCATTTCTACACAAAAACATCAATCTCTAAAGTGCAAACTGTCATTCCATGACAAAGCACATTTCTCCCCAGATGATGAGCCCGTTAAACTTTACAAAGACCCCATGAAGTTTCCTCTAGCGCCACCCTCAGGACAGAATAGCTAAATAATCAGGAGGTTGTTTTTCATTCATTCTTATTGTAGCACCAAGCTACAGCCAGAAGGCGCCACTGGGACTGAAAACACTACAGTCACACGCCAGGTTCCTGGTCTAATAAACCTTATAAACTAAAGTATACGCGTTGGCCTCACAATTACAACTACACTTTAAACACAAACAGAGTCAGCGTGCTTCCTACTTGAGGCAGTCACAGGTGACCAGCAGGTGTGACTCGGTCATCCTGAAGATGTTGTGGATGGCTCTGGCAGCCAGGATCTGCCTCATGGTCTCAGAGATGACATCTGCTGTCTCAGCGGTCCTCACCTCCATGGAGCCCAGGAAGCGAACTATAAAAAGCTGGTGGAGGATCAAGTCTGGACATGCACACACCAAAAACAAATATGCACAATACATCTGTCAGCAGCCCCTCTTAGGAACTGATCTGGAATGCATTAGTACAATCATTATTTTTACAGCTCACTGTTCTTATTTATTAAATTATTCAAGTTTAAAGGTAAGGTTTTCTGCCCTCCAACAAAAAGGGGCGGCAAATAGAGCTTTATGGCTCAGTGCACCAGAATAATAAAACGATGACGATCACATTCAAAAGCATGATCAATGAACCACATCACCACAACAGATACCATACGATGGGCAGTTTTCATTTAAATACATAAAACACCAAGACCATGATGAAAACACGATGAGACAGAGAGACAATACTTTCACTGTCTTCTGATGTGCTGTCTCCCGACTCTCCAAACGGATTACTCCTTCTGTGGAGACACACACACACACACACACACACACTGACTATTAGAAACTAACCAGTAGCTGATACATTAATAGACAAGACACAACTTTCACATACTGTTATTTGACTTACACAAATCAGTGATATTTTGATTGATCAGGATATAAATTAAAATGACTTATTTTGTCTGTGTCAACAGTTTTCATTATTATCTGTTCATTTAGTAAGAAGAAGTTCCAGTGGGAAATATCCATTGCCTCTTATGTGGATTATTCAGAGTAAAGAGGGCACTGTTTCTACAAAGGAAAGTTGGTTTTAAATGTTATAAGACAGACTTTACAGCTGAATAGCAAACTAAGGTTCATACACCTCCGTTGTATTGGGATGGAGGTATAAAGCTGCACGGAGAGAGAGAAAGTAGTTTTTTCAAAATGTTGGTGAACTGGCCCTTTAAAGCCTGACTGAAGCATCTCTCTCTCACACACACACACACACACCTGCCGGTCTGTGCTGCTGTCTTGCTCTGTCCTGAGTTTTCCTCGCTGACGGGGGAAATGATGTCAAATTGGATCGGTGTTTCCGGGTCGACCAGTGCATCCAATGAGAGCACAGAAAGAGCAGGCGATGGTTCGGACCCTGCTGAGCTAATGCTGCTTGCTCGCCCCACCCGTACTTTACTGGAATAGAGAGAGAGATAGACAGAGGTCTGACTCGTCCAGTTTACCCACAGAAGTCTGGTTGGTCACCATTGACCCATCTGCATGAGATCTGGCAGCTGCTAGGCTACGAGGCTGTTGATCTCACCTTACCAGCGTCAGTCCTACCTGCTGGGTCTCATGCTCTCGTGTCTCTGCTGGAAGGATGGCGATGGAGTCACGGCTTCAAGAGCTGATTGGTTCACTCTGGCTGCCAGCTCCTGCCAACAGGAAGAACTCTCAGCATTAACCAATAGGAAAAGATCGCTGCTATCCACCTGGCTTCCCAGAGTGGAAATGTGCCACGTTCTGTAAGTTGACATCTACTTCTTGTGACCACCTTATGCCTATATTTTAGCAAATGCTTAACTAGTCAGAATGTGAGGGCTGTTAGTAAGTAGGAGGCTTTCTGACATGGCAGTGTTACAACTTTTAACATCTATTAATGAATTAGAGCAGTTCTGTTATTACAGTTAATGGTCACAGTGTGGTACTGCCAGGCTGCTAACCTCCTCATTAATGTGGACGTATGTCTGAGAGGTGAAAACAGGGTTAGACAGACAAACCAGAGACATTGGTGGTGATTCAGAGGCCCAAGGCATGTTAGACTACACCTAAAATACCTGTTTCTGCTATGACTTATAACCAGGTGCTTAACAGTTAATGATGGAAGAAGGACACAGACCTCTGCGTTCTCACTCAGGTAGATCCTCTTGGAGATGTTGTTGATGGTGGCGATCCACTGATGGAAGAAGCAGCAGAGTGATGGCATGAGACACAACAGAAGTGCTGACAGTCTACAACAGAGTAGGTAATGTGACAGACAACACTTTAACATGGCGCCCACTGAGGCAAACGTGTTTGTGTGTCCCACTCATAAACACTTTGACCTTACCTCCTCACAGTCCTTCCTGCTTTCTGCCTGCAGTATAACCACTCTGGCAGGACAGGAACAAAAGTACTAAGTATAATCTCAGAAGACAAATGAGTGGCATTTATTATCTACTATAAATCTGAAAACTTCAAAATGACCACAGCGTCTGAGATTTACAGTTTTCATGAAAGAATTTCTCACTTTTTGCCATCAAAGGAAGTGACCTGGAAGCAGAAACGACGGTCGTCGCTGTCAACCGCCATGACGGAGCAGTTGTCAAGGTCAGTGACAAGCCCGCCAGCCGCCACTTCGCCTCGGCCCTGTTGCATTAGGTTACCTCCCTGTGTGAAGAAATATTGACGCTCCCAGGATGACGACACCAGACCCGTCTTACTGAGAAACACACAGGGAAGAAAGATCAAACCAAGTGTACATTGTCAATGTTTCCATCAGACACCAATATACCCACAGCAACTGTGAGCACAGTCTAATCGTGTTACATGGACTTGAGAGAATTTTTTTTCAAGATTTAGATTTAAGACTAGAGAGAAAGAGGCATGACAGAGAGCCAAAGGTGCTCTGGACAAAAAAATTATGTGTGTGTAATGAGTTAGAATGTGTGTGTTTCCTACTTGCGGATGTACAGGTAGCCCTGTTTTCTAGTCAAGTTGCGACAGACAGGTGAGTGGGCAGGGTCGGGGTCACATGGTGCATATAGCGGGTCACATGATCTCTCAATCTCCTGGATGGTTTGCTGCATCTGTCCCACCTCCTCCTCCATCTCCCGACGCACACTGCAAACCCAGACATATAGACAATGGAGTCACATGCTCCTCTCGCATTTGTCACTCACTGCTGATGTTTTCATATTTTTGTCATGTTTCCATCCATCTGCAATCTCACACAAAACCTTTGACACTTTAAAACTAACAGTTAATAAAACACTATATTTAAGACTTTGAATGCAGAACAAACAAAAAAAGAAAACAATTTAAGATACTTTTATGGGGGTGGGTGGTTGTGGGGCTCTTACTTCTGGACGCTGGTTCCTATAGTTCCCAGGAAGTCCTCCCACTGCTTGGAGAGATTTTCTGATCCCAGTTTAAAGAAACTGATCTGCACACAGCAAACAGATAAAGAAATAGCTCTCAACCAGCTGGGGACTATCTAATCCATCCATAAATTATTACTGCTTATCCTGTAGAGGGTCGCAGGGAGCTGGAGCCACTCCCTTCTGACAACGGGTGAGAACAGGTCGCCAGTCTATCACAGGACCGACACACAGAAACAGACAACTCACACCTACAGGCAATCAACCTAACCCGCATGTCTTTGGCCTCCAGGCTGGAGTACCTGGGGGAAACGCACATAGGCACTGAGAGAACATGCAAATTGCAGATAGGCTCCAGTCGGCCGTGAGGTTCAAACCTGAAACATTCTTGCTGTGAGACAACAGTGCTAACCACTGCACCGCCGTGCCCGTCTGGAGATCTTCTTACTTAAGGTAAACATCAGCTCGACTTTAGTAACACAGATCTTTAATGTCTGACATTTATTTTGTTTTTGTGACAGTGATTTTCACATGTCTCTGTTTTAGTTCTACAGTGAAAGTGCATCAAAACACTAGTTGGCATCTCACCTGTGGGACACTTGGTTCTTGGTAGCACTACTTTTGTGGCTGTGGCTCCAAAGTATTTTCCAAACAAAGCCACTACTAAGGCCCTTATTTTCTCTTTATTATGCCAAAAATCAAGAGGTGAGGCAATGCAAAACTTACATATTTGAGCTTGTTACACATCCCACAGGCCACTGTATTCTGGATGGTTTCATGCCATATTCTGAACAGTTGGTGTGTAGCAGTAGACTGTAGCAGCAGTCACACTGTGAGTATTGAGGCTGGTGGTGACTTTGTGACACATGGATGTGTGTCAGAGTCAGAGTCAGATCTAGGATCAGTGTTTGGAATGATGACCAAAGACTATCAGGCTTCTTGTATAGAAAATTCAACATAAAGCTAAAGTATGTCCAGGTGAGAGATGCAGTATGTGATGTTTTCAAATGTTTTCTTGGACCAGTCAAAAACCTAGACAGGCCTGAAACCTGTGGCAAGTCTAACCTGAGATTAACATGAAAGTGTGGCTGACCGAGGTCGTCAGGACAGACTAAAAATCCTCTAGTGTACAGTGTGTATGTGTGTGTGTACCTGGGCCTGCATGTAACCCAGCAGTGGCTCCAACAAAGCCATCTTCTTCTTGTACTGTAGTGTGTTAAGTGAGCAGAAGTAGTGCATCATGGTCTGGTGCTGCTTCTTGCGAGAGGTGTAGACGTCCTCAGTCACCTCTGCCCGCATCTGCAACACAAAAGACAATTTCCTACACTGGAAAAAATAATAGATTTTTGTCAGTGCACAGCAGGTCTGCTCGACCTGCAAAATGTGAAAAATGTCTGGAGGCTTCACTTGTCAAAAGATATTTCTCATCACAAACTCAGCACTACTGACTAAACCAAACCACACAGGAAACGTCTCAGGAGATTAGTTAGAAGTTTATCACCTAAACACTTGGTAATGAACACGAAACCTAATGTGAGGAATGGTTCTCTCACTAATGTGGGCACCTTGTCGTTGTCCCTTTTTTTGGACAGGCGGCTGTATCTGTTGATGGCTGCGTCATGATCTGCAAACAGAAACAGAGGTCGGTGAAACTCATCAGTGGTGAAACATAGTGGCAAAAAGCAGTAACTCAAGCAGTGAGACAAAAATACTCTGTGGGTAACCATTAAAAACCAGTTGAGCTCTTCCTTTATGTGTAGCTAAACCTCAGCAAATGTGACTGTAGACTGAGTGAGACTTTACACTGGGATGTGTGAGGCTGTGACCCTGAGATAGCATCTGTAAACTTCATTCAAATTAGAACAGACTGTTCTCCACACTGCCAAAGTAGCACACTAAAACAATACTGTTTTAAGCAAATTATTAGAGCCACACATTTTTATGTTCAGTGTTCTCCAGCATGAGGATTAGCAGCTTTTTTTCTAATTATGATAAACAGATTCTTGTTAGATGAACTATTGTTCAAAATAGGGAACTTGTCAATTATCCAGACATGTTATCTAACTTGATCTTATTGGCTTAGAAGGAAACAAACAGGCTGTTCACAGAGAAAAGATACGATGCTACTTTGATTACTTTATCTCCATTTACCCAGCTGACTCCACCCGACTATGGGCATTATTTTAATATGTGTCCCACAGCTTAGTTTGTGTAGCTAAGTATTCAACAAGGCACACTTTGTACTTAAAAAAATGTAACAGTATCAAGAAGACACGATATTAATTGGTGACAGAAGTTAAGCTTAAGATCAGTCTATGGTTCTAGGAACTTGTGATGAGCATGTATCTTTCTGAAACAATAAACGGATATGGAAAATTAATTGCAAGCCTAAGCCTGCTAACATACCATCACTGGATATCTGGAAAACTTCTTTCAGAGTGAGGATTTCTGGAGAGAGACAGAAATAACTGCTTGTTATAATGCAAGGGATATTTTTGTCTTTATGTTTTTGTGAACATCATGTACAAGTGTACTTTGGGCTGTTCATTCCCACTGAAGAGAAATCCTAATGCTACAGCACAGTGTGATATTTTAGACAATAGCATGCATTCAGTTTTAGGTGGACAGTCATTTTGGGGAAGAATGCTTCCTATCTCAACATGATACACAACCAGGCCCATAAAAAAATAGGTTTCCTAGTTTGTTGTGGAAGCCACATGCTTTTGGTTAACATCAAATGCTTTTTAGTGGATAACATGACAAATACGTTGGGTCAGTGTTTGTTCTTTGAGCCAGAGGTGTGGCACTGTTGGTTTGTGTTTCCTACCCTTCAGGTCTCTCTCTTTAAACTGAGTGATGGGAAACATCATGGCATCTGCAAGTTGGGTGGACAAGACAGCATGACAGGAGCTCAGCTAGAAAGAGAGAGAAAGAGAAAGTGAAGGAGAATCCTTACCTTGAATCAGCTGAATGACCATGAAAGATGAACACAGTGTACGTTACTCACAGATATTAAAGGATAAGGCCAGTTAACAGTATTTTTAACAATTTCCATACAGAGACTAAAACCTCTGCTGATTTGTTTGAGGCAACATTTTTTTAACAAATATGTAGTTCTGGTGTTTCGTAATGAAGAAACATGTCACCCAATACAGCGGTGTGTTTCACTGATGTGGCTTTAATCCTGTTTGAACAACACTGAAATGAACAAACATGCTAATCCGGGTTTGAGACTGACAGACATTAAGCTTTAATCGATTCGTGTCAGGTACAGTCCACCTGTGGGGGACATCCAGAAAGATAAAACACTCCTCCCTGATAGCAGAAGACAGAGCTCTGGTGTGTTTGTATTCTCTCTCACCTCATCAATGACTTTAGCAAACTGCTGCAGGGTGGAGCTCATCACTTCATCATCACCCCCTAGAGGAAAACGCTGCAGACAATGGCAACAACATGAAGGAATAGATTAACCAGTATTCCTGTGCAGCAGGTGTCCTCTTATAATCAGGGTAGTCTTAGTCTTTGGGGAACTACTGCATTATAAGACTAATGTCTAATGTTATACTGTGGTGGCTAGTGTCAAAGGGCTGGTGGGTAGCATGAACAGGCCCACCTGTTTGTCGTACTCTTTCAGCAGTCTGGAGGTCAGGTGTGTCGCAGCACTGAGCTCATTCTGATAATGAAAACAGCAGACACATCCCTGAGCAGCTGTAGGCATGTTATTCAATCAGCAGCCACTTACAAACATTGCTGAATGTTCTGCCTATACATCCAACACAAGTGGCACTCTACCTGTCAAACATACCTGTGCATCATAAATCCTCTGCATGGCCTGATAGAGCTGTGCGCAGTAGTTGGAGATGGCTGCAGTGTCCTCCTCAAACACTCCCAGCAGAGACCGTGTCTACATGCAAAGCACAAGAAAACTGGTGAACTATAAATGTCTATAACTATATAACAATAAAAGTCACTATAAATCATGTTATGGCTCCAAATGACCATTTGTTTAACTGCCAAAACCAAACCCAGATCTATCTATGCAAACACACACCTGCTACCTCTCCCTGCAGGACAAAGGTATCATCAAGCTGTGTTTCAATAACACTGTTTGCCTTTAGCAGGCCACTCTTCATCATATGTGACTGAGAGAGATAAATAAGTTACAGTCAGTACTTTGTAACCTCCCTTTGGAGTAGTTCATTGTGGGTTTTGAGGTCTACTTTGGATCATTGTCCTCTTGTAGAAGGCAGGCTCCATTTCAGTTTCAGTTCTTTGACTGACTGTAGGACATCTGCATCCATAATTTGCAGATATTCAGTGGAATCCATTGTTGTCACTATCTGTGTAATGCTACCTACCTTGGGGGCGGCTGTGGCTCAAGAGATAGAGCGGGTCATTTCCTAACTGGAGGATTAGCGGTTTGATTCCTGGCTTGTCCAGTCAACATGTCAAAATGTACTTGAGCAAGACACTGAAGCCCCAGTTGCTCTTGGTGATAACACCGGTGTGAGCGTTTGTGAGTGCAGCTGGATGAATGGCCAAGTAGTGTGAAAGTGCTTTGAATGTGCTGCAATGCAGAGTAAAGTGCTATAAAAGTATAAGACCATTTTACCTGTGTCACTGACTGCCACATAACCATCAATGCTGAACATCTCGCAAGAGCGGATGAGTTTCTGTTTGCTGCATGGATTGTATTTACTTCTTTTCACTTCAAAGATCAAGAATATAAAATGTGATGTACTGCTGGAGACTGGGTGGTTGGTCAGTTTGTAAAAGGAACACACTTGTGCACTTGCAACTTGTATTTCAAAGATGTGTATGTAAATCATATTCTGGTTATATTGTATATATTTCACCTCACTGTAAATTTTTGTGTCTGGATCTTTCATATCAAATGACTTCATCCAGGTGAACTAAAACATGCAGACCACATACAGTACATCTTTGTCCCTACAAAATGTTACGTCACGTTATGTACGTAACGCTTTGACCACACCCCAGTTAAAGATGTCACGTCAGGTGTTTTGCCCCGCACTTGCAGCAGGACACAGCATCACTGACTGGGGTGTCTTTCAATTTACATCCACCAGTGCAGCAGAAGCAGCTTTCTGCCGTGTGACTTTCACATAAAACAATAACACAAAGCAGCTGAATGACAATGCTGCTTTATGAAAAGATGAAGAGTTAGACTTGGAAGAAGAGGACACGCCGAGTGGCTACGGAAGTAGCCCATAACTGTTTAACGACTTTTTATTTTTTATTTTTTAGCAAATCAACGCTGAATTATGTGCCTCCGTTTGATATGTCGATCTCGCATGCTGACCGAAAACTCCAGATCCAGCTGATCGGTGTAGTCATCACGTGACAACTTTGGTTAGCTGGCTGGTTAGCGGTTAGCATGCTAGTTGAACTTGGCATCTCTTCACTGGCTGTTGCCAAACACTGAGCCTACAAAGACAGTTAGCCTGGCCGTACAACTGGCTAACGTTAGCATGCTAGCTGAAGCCTCCAGGGAGGAGATTTGTTACCTGCGGACTGTCCTCCAGAGTCTCCTCTATCGGCAGCTTCTCTATCCCAGGCATGGCTGCGGCTGACGGGATAGAAATCGGTACGGATCCACGGGCAAAACGCACAACAAATCGGTCCGACAACTCCCACACAAGGTTTCTTGGCTACACGAATTCACAACACCCCAAAACAGCTCCTCCCAGATTTGTATGTCCCGCCCTCCACATGGATTTTAATTGGGCAGACGAAAAGTTCCCTGATATCGATTGGTTCATTTGTCAAGGGAGAAAGGCGCCATGTTGGCTCTGACCAGGATTGCCCTTTCACAGTATTCGTGTACAGCACGGAGCCACAATGGCGGCCATTCGGCTTAGTTACAGGTAATAAAACGTTTTTTGGGTACATTTGGGAATTTTTTTTCCGGTTAAAGGCATATTTATTGGATATAGGGTATTAAACATGTTCTGCATGTATTTTTATATAGACTACTTCATATAGCCCATAGTATGTTATTTTTATAATATTCTACAAGCTCTGTTTCTGTACAAAGCTTCCTCCGGCTCTTTTAAACCAGGAACTCACAAAAAGACGAAGTAGACCACTTTAGATTTTATAAAAAATAACCGTACTGGTTTATTCAGAGGATCACAGGTAAAATTAACATCACACGTCCAGATCTCTCCCACCACCAAACCTGCGCGCAGGCAGCTTGGAAGATGAAAGCCCCTGGACCACAAAACCTATATAATTTTAATGATTCTGGGCTAGCCCCATACTACGCAGAAACGTCAAACCGTGACGTCACCTGATATGCCATCTTGCAGCTGACCATAACGATAGTCAAAACATGAGGAAAAGTCAAGGTGTGTGGCTGTTGTTTTGTTGTGTGTAGCTAGAACAATTTGACATTAAGACAAAATATTAGGATTAGCATTACAGTTAATACTAACAACTCTTCTTGCCTGCAGCCTTGGCCTAGATGCTGTCTGCAAGCACATGAAATTAAACTGAGCAGTTAACAGCCTGAGCTAGACATCCTGTCTCCACTAAACATTTCTAGACAACAAATCTCTGAATATCTATCTAATTAAGAAATAACCTAACAATTCCAACAGGCAGAATTACTAACAGTTTTCCACACTTTGGCAGCCGTCAGCCCCACTCCCATGTGTATAGCCTATTCTATAATAAATAAAAACGTGTCCTAATAGTTGGTTTTATCTACCAAGTGTGTAACTAACAAGTTCATTTATTGATCATTTTTCCGATTAATGTCACGTTCACATGATATTGTTTAAACCGTAAATACAAGCAGCCAAGACCAAACAGTTCTTCATCCATAAATCAAATAACTGTTAGCAGTATGAAAACATGGTAACTGTAAATGGTAGGTAATCCAAAATGTTACATTTAAAATAACGACACAAATAAAAAAGACATTGACATAAACATCACAAAAAAAATTTGACCAAAAAAAAAATATAAAATGAATCACAAAGCAGATTTTAAATGATTTACAAACCAAATCATCAGCAGAGTTGTTCTGAGTTCATCTCGTTTTTCCTGCTGTGTGTTTATCTTAGTGCTCCTTTTCATTTGGATTTAAATACAGTAAAATTATATCCAGTTACTGAGAATGACGGTACTACCATGCTGTGTAATCATCCTCAATACTATACTCATCATCATCATCATTGTCCTCATCATCCCTGTCATTATCCTCATCCTCATCATTACCCTCATCATCCTCATCATCATCCTCATCCTCATCATTATCCTCATCATCATCCTTATCATTGTCCTCATCATCATCCTCATCATTATCATCATCCTCATCATTATCCTCAGCCTTATTCTTGTTCTCATCCTCATCATCTTCATTCTCATCCTCATCTTCATCAACCTCTGGTAAAATCTCAATCGGGGATTCATGTCTGTTGCTAATGTATGGAAACAGCTTCTTAGTGCTGATGTTTCTGAAGGTGTGTATGTGTGTGTCTGTGTCGAGATCAAAGAAGGACAGTTTTCTTTTGTCCTGGTCCAAATTAACTTTGACCTGCTGAAGTTTGGTTTGCACTGAGAGAAAAACTGATCGGCCTGATGGGGAGCAGGCTTTGTATTTACCATTAAATAATCCTATTCTCCATATTTTAGACTGAATTTTCCCTTTCCTCTGTACAGACTCTGCTGCCACACCCAGAAACCAGCCTGTACTGTCTCCTACTTCAACTTCCCAGCCGTGAGTCCCTGAGTCAAAGCCCTCAGAGCCCAGGACAGATGTGAAGGTGTCAAACCTCTCTGGGTTTTCAGGAAGCTTCTGTCTCTGTCCACGTCTCACACTGGTCAGATCTTCCGACAGGATGAGTTCTGGATGAGCAGTGTTTGGATCCAGAATCACAGGAGTGTAGGAGACCACGTCCTTCATCTTGTTCCAGATGTTGAAGGCCAGGTTGCCCAGGTGTTTGGCCACATCTATCAGAGCTCCTGA